CAGTTTTGTAAATATGTGATGCTTGTTTATAGATAATTATGTGTAACATTTTATACAAAACTTCATTATATTTAAAGTCTAAAAGAATATATATGCCAAATGTTAACAGCAGCAATTTACAGTATATGATTTAAGAATAAAATGTTTTTTTTCTTTAAAATAAATAAATAAAATCCTTAAAGATGACGTTAAAAAACAAATTAAAATAGATCAAAATACTGGGGGGCCAGCAGATGTGAGAGATGTCAGGTTTCATAAAAGCAATGACTCCAACAAAATGCCAACAAATACAGCTCAATCTGGAGGAAATTGAGAATAATCCAAGTCCTTTTAAAAGAACAGTCAGTCAGTCCTTGCTTAGGAACCATGACCAACCTCCTGAGGCTAAAGAGACCCCAAAGTGGAAGGTGACTTCCAAATCATGACTGGTCACCCTGAAGCCTTCTGAGGCAGGCCCCTGTCAGTGCACCCTAAAGCCTGGGGCTCAGCAGCTTGAAGTGTGGGTTCCTAAAGCCCAAGGTCATAGAGGTTCTGCAGAGAGGCCAGCAACACAGATTCTGGAAGCAAAGGCCAGGTTCAAAATCCAAGCTCCCTGGAAATCACCAGCCCAGACAACCCACCACCATCTTCCAGCCATTGCATCCCCTCATTCCAGGGCCCGGTACTTAGAGAGGTTCAAATCCAAGCTTCTCCTCTTCCTGGGATCTTGGACTAATTGTGTAATCTTTACTTACAGTAGTTAACTGATCTACAGATGAAGAAAGTATGTTGTGTGGGATAAAGGAGATATTTTGTATATGTTTTCAGCATGATGTCTTGTCCACTTCAAGGGAGAGGTCAAGGTCAGCTTTCATTACTATCATATTACTATGGAGGAATGAAGCTCAGTACAACAGGCAGAGGGGATGACAGATAACTCCTCAGGGGTATGCCTGACACCACTGTGAGTACACAGAGTGTCCATAAAAACTCTACCCAGTTTCAAAGAGTTATTCATAAATTCTTTGACCTTCCTCCCACTGGGAGATGGGTTGAGTTCTACTCACCATTCAAAGCAAGTGGGCTTCTGTGATCATTTCAACAAACAGAAAGAGCCATTGGAAAAGGATACACGATATATTTTGCTCACTAGGACACTTGTACGTAAAACCTTCAGGTGTCAGTTAAGCACCTACTGCCTAGAGCCGCCATATTGTGAGGAAGCCCAAAGTGGCCTGGGCAGAAACACCACATGAAGAGGCCCCAAATCCACGAGATTCTGGGCCAGTGTCCACTGCTACAGCCCTGCCTGGTTCTAGTTTCTAGCCATAGAATAATACCAATAATACAAGGAAAACCAAACCAGAACCACTCAGCCAGTCTCTCCTCAAATCCCTGACCCACAGGAACCCTGAGAGCAAATACAAGGAGTGGTGCCCTTTTATGCCATTAAGTGTTAGGTGACTTGTTGCACAGCATAAGGGAAAAATAATGTCCATAACGGGTGCAGATGTCCCTCAGAGTTAGGTTCCCACCAACTCCCTCATTTCATCCTAATAATTGCACTGGGAAGAAAATGCTATTATTGTCACTTGATAATGCTGCAGACCCCAGAGGGTAAGTGGATTGCCAAAGGTCACATGACAAGTGAGTGAAATCGGCAAGTCTCCTGTTTGGGAATTTTGACTCCAGTTACAGTGACTCTTTCTGTTGTACCACTGTCAACTCTCAGAGTAGAACAGACCACAAAGACAAAAAAAAAAAAAAAAATACACACATGGAAACGCACATAGGCTGGAGTGAAGGTCAAGAGGGCAGCATTCTGCTCCAGGCTCCCAGGCAGAGAGACACCAGGCCTTCCCCACAGCAGCACTGGTGGGCAACGGAATATGCAAGAATAAAATGGGCAGTGTTTGAAGGCCACATAATTAGGAAATGACGAGAGGGCACAGGGTCTGGCGAGGCCCATGGTTTCCATCACCAGACATCTCAGCTGACAGCTTGGATGTCATTACAGTAGAGTTTTCAGAAATAYTTGTCAGAGCCAGGAGAAGTTTCAGCTCAGTCATAGATGACTGTGACGTCCTCGGCTCGTGGCCCTGCACTCTGATGAGATGTCAAGAACAGCAGCAACACTTGTAGTGGGAAAGTGCCAGGAGGAAGAGAAGCTTCTGCTTCGAGCATAATGACTGACATTTCTCGTTTGCCTCTTTGGCTTTTTCACGAAAATGTTCCGTCGAGTGACAGGGACAGGGGTGTACTGGTAATGGGTATGAAGCCAGTGCCTCTGTGTAAATGCACATGGCTGAAAGCTGCTTTGCCTCTACAGAGCTTTCAAATGCATGCACTGAAGCTCTGAATAGGACCAGGCTCCATATACAAGAATTCTACCAGAGAAGGATGGTTTTAGGGTATAAGCAGAAACTTGATCAAGAAATACCGAGAAAGAAAAGAAAAATGAGCAAATACAAGCTAACCCTCAGGTGCAAATCAAAAGTCCAAAAAATAAGTGAGGGTAAGAGCTAAGAATTTCAAAGTCTAAATTCCTACATTGCTACTCTATCTTCAAAGAGCACAGAAATAGAGAACTACATCTTTCATTTTTCTTGTTCCTTGAAGCAGTGGGTTCCAAATATTTTTCACTATCTCAGAATCACCTGGTTAGACTTTTTTTTTTAATACTAATTTTGATGGGCCCTACTCCCACAGCTTGTCAATCTGTAGGTATGCACTGGGCCCCAGGTATCAGCATATCTGATCCKTAGCAATTTTAATGCACACCCAGTTTGGGAGTCACCCACATGAGTGACYGAGAATGTTCCTTGTGACCACAGTTGTGGAACTCTCAAATGGTAGTGAAAAGTATGGCTTCCCCAAATAAAATCTCTTTTCCAGCCTTGTATCTAGGTGGCAGTTAAGGGCAGCCTTCTGCTTTGCTCACAGGGTCTGAAAGGAACACAGGTGTGAAATCGGTAGGGTATATTCTTAAAGGAGGCACAAGTCCCACCTTAACACCTCTCTCCTGCCCTCTGGAATATGGACACCATACTGAAGCTCTGATACTCATTACTCACCATGAGATAAACCATGGCAATGCCCAGTCAGCAACATGGGGTAAAATGTCAAATAATTCAGAATATGGATATTTACATCCCCACATCACTCTCCTCCAGTCATCTTAACCACAAAGAGAAATAAGACGCAAATCTTACTTAAGCCGTTATTAGATGGAATTTTTTGGTTATTTGCAGGGAAATGTATTGCTAACACAACTAGCTATCTTAAAGTCCCTCTCCAATCCTAATATCCATAGTCACCACTAAAATAACGAGAGGCAGGAACTTGATATAAATCCACAATTTGCAAATGAGGAAAATGAGATGCAGGGAAGAGATATTCCATGCTCAAAGCAATAAAGCTAGTTAGCAAGGAAGGAGACCAGGATTTAGACTCATGACCCTACCTTCAAAGCCAGTGCTGTTTTGCCTACACTATTTTGCAGGGGACTCAGGACAGAGACCCACTTCCAAAATAGAATGAGTAGTTCTCACAAAGCTGAGCTGGGGAGGGACACCCTGGCTAGGCAGACACAGCAGGAAGAGAATGCTCCCAGCAAGCTACACTCATGTGGCCTTCTGTTACACTGTTTCCCCTCCCATGCCCCAGACTTTTCCTTTTCTATGTTCTTATCTCCTTGATTCTTAGTTCTCTGGCAGGACTGAATCATAAAAACATAAACGGTTCACATTCTAGGCCAAATCAACCTTGTCAGCAGGTTTCCATCTAAACTCATCCACTCAAAACTAACACCATGGCTGTGACTGATAGCAGAGAACCTGCGAAAAATCACTTGAGTCTTCACCCTTCCAAGGTTAGAGGTTCCCAAAGAAGTTAGGGTCCTKCCAAAGTTAAGAGCCCCCTAGGTCAAGGGGATGTGTTACCATTGTTCTGTCCCCCATTTGCAGAGGTGGAAAATGTAGACATTAAGCTACAGAAGAGACTAGCAATGCTTTTCCAGGATGGAAGGAGTGGGCCTGCAGGGTGGTTGGGGCTGAAAAAAGTGCCACATGCATCACTTGCTGACATTGATACTTCTTTATTTGTTTAGCAACTGCTTCCTGCCACTTCCTGCCGCCTCCCAGTGCAGAATATAAGAAGCAGAAGAAAGGAAGTTTCATCTTCTTTATTCACTGCTATTCGCAGCACAAGAGACGGTGTGAGATCCCCAAGCGGGTGCCCTAGAGGTGCTGAATGGAGGACTGAATGTTGACGGATCCCCTCTCAGGTCTCTGGGCTTGGCTGCRTGAGCAGCGCCAGGTCCTGAATTCCTCATCTTTCCTACTCCGTGACAGTCCTCCTCACACATCTTCTACCGCCTTTCCCCACCTCTCTGCCAATCCACAGTTAAACCAGGCTGCAACTATCCTCAGAGACTCTCGTGGTCTGCTTCAGTCGAGAGCTTCTTCCCTCACRGCTGAATTTCCTTAAAACTCACTCTTCATCACTGAAAAAAACTTGCATTCCCTACAACATACTGAACAGGACCACGGATATTGCTAATGACCCGTTCTGATGGTCAGAGGCTGTGGCTCACAATGTGCTACCTCTTCAGGGAGGTCAGAGTCTAACATTCTTGAGTCCAGAAAACAGAATAAAGTAACAGCAGGTGATATCTGCATTTAACTGAAACTAACACAAATTACGCACATTTGAAAATGTACTACGTAGCAGGCAGTGTTCGTGGCTTTTAAATGGCTATTCCATTTTATTCTCACACAGATGCCATGAAGCAAGATTTTTCTCTGAAGAGTACTGACAACATGTCTCAGGTTCAGAGAGGTTGGGTAACTTGCTCAAGGGCTCATAGCAAAAACCATCAAAGCTCTGCTCTGAACTCACTCTTGTCCATCTTGTCTGTGTCTCAAAAGGCCTTGAGATTGACAGGCAAAAAGCAGTAGGAAGTGTGTGAATGACTGTGTGTGTGTGTGTGTGTGTGTGTGTGTGTGTGCGCGCGCGCGCGCATCTTCATTGTAGAAATCAGCACAGATGCAGGAGTTCCAGGGTGGCAGGGGCAGTCTGCACTTATGGGAAAGTCTTCCAAGTTTCCAATGTGTTATTAGGAAAGAAGGTGTACTCTAAAAGGGAGGAAAAGATATGAAACTAGAAAATCTCAAATGTCCGCTGTAGCTGAGCAACAAGTCTGATTCTGAACAGTAGAGGCCTCATGCCCTCAATGGAGAATGAGGCTAAGAGAACTAATAGGCTCCAAACTCTACCATTCACACTATAGTCTAAGTGACAGCGGACCCCCAAGATGATAACTAGGTACAGAATTCCTGAGCATGTGCAAAGGAACCAGGTGGCAGCTCCCATCAGATAGCTCCCCTTAAATCTCTGTAGACTAGGTCTTTGTATTCCCATTTTCCCAGCAGGAAACTGAGTCTCAGTGAGCTTCAATGACTTGCCAGACCTATCACCCAAGCCAGGGTTCAAGTCACTTCGCACATTCTGAGTCAAGAATGCCAACTCTTTCCAGGACCTGGATGTGCTTCCAGCTGGCATCTATAAGAAATGGGGCACCTGGGGCTGTATGTGCCACCCCCTTCCCGGGCCCTAGGGCTCTTTACCTCACACTTCTCCACCACCGGCTGCTGCCCACATTCGGAGCTGTTGCCTGCCACGATGCCAGCCCGCAGGTTCTCGCTGTCCCCAGTGCCCTCCTCCATGGAGTAGGTCCTGGAGTGGTTGCCTCGACGGTGCGCGGGCCCGCGGCCCTGGGCCAGGCTGAGCTGCCTGCGCAGCGCGCGGTTCTCGGCCTCGACCTCGCGCATGCGCACCTCCAGGCTCTCGCGCTCACGCTGGCTGGAGGCTGCATAGCGGGGACTGTGAGCCTGGGACTCCAGCGGTGACAGGGACACRGGCTTCCCATCTGCAGAGACACCAGGGAAAGTTTGAATCAGAAGTAACCGCACCTCCCCTGACACCCAATGCTATCTAGATAGGCTCCTTCCCCACTGTATTTCTTTTTTTAATTTTTGGAGATATTTATTAACATAAAGGAAAATTTAAAATAAACTTTTAAGTTTTTAATAGTGTTAGATTTACAAAATGCTGTGAAGAAGATAGAGTTCTTATATATTCTATGCCTGGATCCTACTGTTATATTATACATTACATGCATTATTGTTATCTAATATATAGCCATATATAATTTTACATATCTTGGAGCACTACATTTCAGCCAATGAAGCAATATTGATACATTACTATTAACTAAGTCCATGCTTTATTCAGACTCCTTAGTTTTTTAAAATTTTTAAAATTTGTTTTAATTAGTTATACATGATAGTAGAATACATTTATGCACTTTGATATATCGTGCATAGATGGGATATAATTTCTCAGTTTTGGGAAAAGCAAATRCAACAAAAATTATGTATAAATACATCCAGAGTAAAGTAAGAACAGAGTTGAAAGCAGAATGACTTATTATGGTAATAAAAACTTAACGTGCTGTTTCAAGATCACAATCATAATGCAATCATTAGGACCTCCTCTATGTACATRTTTCCAGGTAGACAATCTTAACACCAAAGCATGGTGAATATGGAGAGAGGGAAGAAGGAGACTGGAAGGGAATAGTATGAGGAAGTGGAAAAGAGCAAAAGAGTAAAAGAAGGAAGAAAAAGAAAATAATAATAGGACTAAGTGTATTGAGCTATTCTTATGCGAACTCCTATTCATCCTTCAAAACCCGGTTTTTAAAACATCACCTCTCAGGGAAAACATTCCTTCAATGCAGGCAAAATGTCCTTCAGCATATTCCAGCAGCAATTTGTACACAGCGTAAGCAATTTGTACATAGCATTATGAAAACATGTATCTGTCATGCCRGAAGGGAAGATGCATGTATCAATGCCAAGAGCAAAATAATTAAGAGCAACAAAGAAGAAAGTAGGAACATGACTGATCTCCCAGTTTTCTCAGAAAAAAAAAAATTACCACCAGCACAGCAACACTGCATGTGACAATCATCCAACCCTCCAACAGAAACCTAGGACACACAGATAAGTAGGTCCCTCAGAGTCTCACAACCAGAGGGTGGTTTCAAAACTCAAACCCAGGTCTCTCTTATGCCTGAGCCCATGCACTAACCATTTAAGTGAATTTTTGTCAAAGACCATTCAGATAGTCAAAGATTTTTTTTTTTTAATTTGAACAATGTAAACCACCATTTCCCCAAGCTACTTAGCATATCACCTGGTATATACTAGATGCTTAAAGCATGCTGTTGAGGAGTCGCAAGGTCTGAAGACATACCCAAGGCCATCACTTCTTTCTATTCCCACTCTTAAGCAATCCCAGTATCCAGCCACGGTGGTGGCTGCCTCGGAGGCTGCCCAGCAAAAAAGTCACATCTCTACAAAATGACCCTCGTTCACTTGCCAGCTAAAAAGCACTCCTCATTTTCCATACTTTGTGATTTTTCCTTTTCCTGTCCAGAACCCACTGAGCTTCCAAACTGTCCCAGAGAGTCTCTTTGACTCACAAAACTTGAAGATCAAAGACTGTGATGAATGACACCCAGCACGTCTCACCTGCACAGCCTGTGCTGTGCCTGCCTCTGCCCAGGACTGTTTGATGTTTCTTTGGGCCTTAACAAATAGGGCTCCTTTCCTCCCCCCTCCTAATCACCTCAGGGTTAAACACCTAAGCTCCTGATTCTCTCCTGTCAATGGAAGGAATATGACTCACTGAATTCCACTGCCTGGAACCACAAATCAAAGGTGGGGGAAGAATCCATGGGGGCTGTGAAATCACAGGTTGATTAGGCTGCATTGTTAGAGAGCTGGCCGATTACAAGCTCCTACCCAAGCTTTTGAAACCTGTCTCCCTGTTGGGTTAAAGCCAAATTAGTTCCATCAAGAGAATGAAAAAGAATAGGCTGCTAATAGCAGTTGTATTTTCCCAACTCACATGGACCTATCAGGTAGGGTGGGGAAAGAAGAGCATCTTTTTCCAAGGGAAGGCAGACAGTGAGGCTCTGTGTAGTGCCTGCTAAGATCTGCAGGGGGCATTCATGTAGTCAGAAGTTGTCACAACACAGGTAGAAGTAGTCCCCATTACAGACGAGGAAACTGAGACTCTAAAAGTTTAAACTGTGTGCTGATCATGCTGCAGCGCCATGGGAAGCAAGCTCTCTATCACTTTGCAATAGGTCAGTCTTCTGCATTATTGTGCTTAATTAAAGGCACAGAGGCTCTGGGGCCTGAGAGGAGCTTCCTTCGCATGGGCATTGAGTCAGAAACCCAGGATGTTCTGCAAACTCAGTGTCCTGGAGACCCTAGAAAATTGCCAACAAAGGTCATCTAGATGGCTTGTTCTTTGAAAGGACAACCTCAATGCTCTGAGCTGCAGTTTTCCCTTTTGTGATATCAGAACATAAACACGAGTCTCACAAGAGTTATAGGAGGCTTAAAAAGAGAGGCCAAAACACAAGAAGCCTGTCAAAAAGGACTCCTTTGATGAATGAGCACCTCCAAGCTCCTCCCAGTGAGGGTGGGGGGCATGGAAGATATGGGTAAGATGAGTTGAGGTTGTAACTTAAGGTTGAAAGCTGCGTGTTCTCGGAACATAGGGCCATTGAAGAAGCCGTGTCTAGGAACAGGGGGCCCCGAGCCTTAGCTTCCTTGGATAGATCCTTGGATATGGGGCAGCCCTGTCTCCTGCTGTCAGCCTGCGCCACATCAGTGTCCACTCACAATCACCATGGAGGAGAAGCAGGCTCCACCAAAGGCCTGCTCGCACCCCAGGGCCCCTCCCACAAGGGCCACATTTTACACTTTTACATAAATGGCGATTCTTTGACTATGTGCTCCTGGGAATTGATTTTAACCTCCTGGGTCCACTTCCTTCCTATCCCTCATTAGGCCCCAAATGGCTTTAGCCAGACTCAGTGCCCAAAGACTGGCGGGTGTTTTCCACTTTTAGAACTCCATGCTTTGCCAGCCCTGAAGACACCCCAAGTAATAACTCACAGGACTCAACTCGAGGGACCAGTGTTGCCACAGGCAGCCCTTACTCTGTGCCCAGGAACCACCATGGAGGCAGTGCCCGGGAACAGCACAATCACAATTCTAGCTTGTTTCCTTTGCTTCCCTGCAGGATAGATCATCCTGCCCCGGCTCCTGCCTCTTGCTCAGCCCATGTTTCCTTCTGAGGGAAGCGGAGGTAGACCAGGGGCCCCTCTCAGCTCTAACTTTCTGTGGCCTCCTGGTCCAGGTGGACCTGCCTGTCTAACACAGCTGTGGCATCCCAACATCATGAGCGGACCCTGCTGCCTGTCACATTCCTAGCTCGTTCTAGCTTTATTTATTCAGACTCTTGCTTTTACTCCTGGGTCACTCACTTCTAGCTTCTGAGTCCTTTTCTTGAGGCATCTCCTGGCTCTTGGGGTGTGGGAACAGGGAGAGTGAAGACAGTGAAAGGTGGGTCCTCCAAGATGTCGTCTCCACTTCTCTGTCAGGCCGGTGGGCTTGGGTCATTCCCAGGCACCTTCCTATGGTTTCTGTGTGAACCACATTTGAAAACTCATCACACTGGGCAGGACAGTGTCCACATCAACGTTTTTCAGACTATTAATGGTGTAAAATCCATTTCCTCTCCCAATCTATCCTGGGCAAAGGTTGGCCTTAACGCACATGGTTAGTATAGAGCTTGTCCCACGTAGAAATCACCTCTTGAACTCAACAAACTGGCATATAGTTGTCCATCAGGAACAACTACTGATCACATCCTTGATAATACCAAAAAATCCAGTTGCTCTAGAAGTTTCTAAATGCCTACTATCAAGCTCCATATGTATCTTGTTGCAAACCAGGAACAGTTTGGGGATGGTGATGGTTAATTTTATGTGCTGATTGACAGGGCTGTGGGGTGCCCAGATCTTTGGGTGCTTCAGTGAAGGTATTTTTGGATGAAATAAAAATTTATCTGAGTAGACCGAGAAACCCTTCTCCCATGTGGCTGGGCCTCACCCAATCAGCTGAAGGCCTCACTAGAACAAAAAGGCTGATCGTGCCCAAGGAGAACAGTCCTCCTGCCTGGCTGAAACAGTCCTTCTTCCTGGGTCTCCAGCTTCCCGGAATGTGGACTGGACTCACACCATTGCTCTCCTCCTTCTGAGGCCTTCAGGCTCAGAACACACTGGGGTCAGCCTCCATGACCATGGAAACTCATTGCTTTTAACAAGCATTTGTGTAAACATGCATGCGCACGCGCGCACACACGCTTGCACACACCCACCCACACACACACACACACACACACACACACCTATTGGTCCTGCTTCTTTGGAGAACCTGATTCAGAGACACAACTGTCTGTGGTGAACGCCTTGCACCGTGGCAATGCCTGATACCCAGTCACTTTATCCCAGGGCCTGGTGCCATTCCTGTACTTAATGTCTGAAGAAGGGAATCATGGGAAGAACTGAAACCTAGACCTTAAAAATGGCTTGAAAAGTATGACACGTTTTTACATCTCAGTTATTTAAAGGGACATCTCGGTGCAATATTAAGAACCAGGGGAGAGGAAGAGACAATCAGGAAAGCAGGCAAGTCCCCGACAGCATTCAGAACAAGAAAGGCTAGTCTCAGTGGTGGTTCTTCCATCTACTCAGGAAGAACCTTGGCCTAAGCTTTCACTTTCCAGGGACACGGTGTCTCCATAGGTAACATGAGGTACCTGGGGTGTGACTTTAGGTATGGTCACATTACCCAGCATCAGGCTCAAGTTTCTTTCTCTACCCTTTCTACAGCCTCACCCACATAACCCTGGGAGCAGAGGAGTGCAGGCAACAGTAGGACAGGTCCCTTGGCCTTGGCTTCCCTGTCCCCTCTTCCCCAGGCTTTTATTTGGTAGATATACACACGCATACACGTGGCACATCTTGCGATCCAATAACATGTATCATGTGTTGTTCCGCAGTCTAGCCCACTTTGAGTTGAAAATGTCAAACAAGACATTATTCAAAACCTCAGTTGACAACATCTTTCTCCTCCTTCTAGAACTTCTTGACAAACACAAGTTTATGGCAGAATTTCAATCTCTGAAGCCACTTGAGATGAATGTTCTGAATTAAGAATCAAAACAGCTAAGATTCGGGGCAGAGAAGGTAAATTGAAAATCAACATCCATGCACTACCATGACAGAGATTAGGGAGTTGACAACCGAAATGTCCTAAGTAATTATTTCAATCAATTTGTGTKTGTTGACCCCCTCTGAATCTCTCTAGAGGGCTAGTTAGTGTTCAGCACTGTGTGGGACCCACCATTTGCAAGTGGATAGTATTATGGGGTTCATTCAAGGAGGCATCGGCTAGACTTGGATAGACTTAATACCCAGGGGGCTTGGGCCCTTTGTGCTGAGCCAACCAGACCTCTCTAGTGGAGGAAGCCAGAATCCCACACTCACGGGCAAACTCCAAGAGAGCTGTCCTCCTGCATCATTCTGTGGGTGATAAAGACACTACATCCCTAACCTTTATATGGCAAAATCTCCCTACGTACAATCTGTCAGCGAGTCCTGCCAATTCTCCCTTCCTGATGCTCAAAGCATTTGCTCTTCTCATTTTATTTCAAACATTTCATTCCCATGCCAAGCCTCACACAGGGGTTGTCAAACTTTTTCTGTAAATACCCAGTGAAAAAGTATGTTTCACTTCTTGTGCTGCAGGCTACATCATCCTTCTCACAAGAACTCCACCACGGTGGGCTGAAAGCAACCACAGAAATACCTAAACAAACAGGCTTGGTTGTTTTACAATAAAACTTTATTTATAAAAACAAGTAGTGRGCCAGRGTGTGTGGTCCCAGTTGGTGGGACCTAAAGTTTCACATTTGTCTTAGAACATGACTCTGGTAACCTTGATTAGCCACCCCTGCTCCAATCTCCCCTGTCCCAATCAGCCTCACTCACAGATGAGATAATGTTCTGCAATCCTGGTTTTACCACATTTGCAGCTTGAGAATACACAGAAGCGACCCCATTTACTTCAAGTCAACAGACACCTGGTCTGTTCCTATTGAGTACATGCCCAGTCCCCATTTTAATTCATGCAGCACTATAACAAGGTGGTTGTTTTAAATACTCCTATTGGTCTAATGAAAAACAGAGAGAAAGAGAGAGAAGGGGTGTGGGGGAGACAGAGACAGAGAAATGGAAACACAATTTAACTTGGTTATGTCATCCCAGCAGCAAACAGCAGCCAGAAAGTCTCGGACCCAGGCTCCTTGGCTCTACATCAATGGCTCTTTCAGTATCAAACTAGAAAATCTATTCATCACCCCTCTCCAAAAGAGACCAGTTGAATTTATGGTGGTGGTCCTTCGTGCCTTGTTTGCAAGGACTCAACCCAGCCCCAGTAGCCTGAAAGCAACTACAAAAATACCTAACAGATGGGCATGGCTAATTCCTTCAGCCAGGGGTTCTCAATCCTGGCTACCTTGCAATTGCTTGGGAAACTTAAAAAATACTGATGTGCACAGGTTCCACCCCAGATAAGTGATCCCAACTCTCAGGAGGAGGGGGTCTAATTATCAGCATTTTTTAAAGCAGCTACTGCCATAAGATTCTCCTGTGTGATCAAGCCTGAAACACACAAGTGTGGCAATTCTGCAGAGTTTCCAGCTTGGATGCAAAGGATGTCTGAGCACTGACATACCAAACTACTGTGCTGCGCTCACCCTGGGTCTCAGTTCCTTTGCCACACCTTCTTAGAGCACTTACCTTCTGAGAGCAGCCACCAGCTAGCTGTGTGGCCCAGGACCTTCCGGATTTCCCAGTATCCTAGTTCCTCCAGGCTTAGGGACTTTTTGCTCCGACCCCAGCACCTCCCAATCTTCCTCTTTCCTGGATGAGCATCTCTTTCAAAAGAAAGGCCCTACTCCTCCAGGTGTCTGACCATCCAGTGGCCCCTGGTCCCAAGCTCCCTCCCTTGACCAGCCATTGGTCACTACATTCCACTGTATTTTCCAATTTCCAATTGCCCCTGAAGCTGTGTTTATGAACTATTTTGTATTTTCAGTGCAATACCCTCCTTTAATTAACATAAAAATTTYGCACCCTTTGCCAATGCCATTAGACACTTCAAAATCAATTAAGTATCCCAGCCTAAGTCATTTTAAAGAAGTTTAGAAAACTCACTTTGTTCTTAAAAAGTTTCACATTTAATGTATTTCTTTTTTTTTTTTTAATGTGATCAATGGCTGTCCACAGGAATGTTCCGGCGTGTCACCAGCTATTACGTTCTCAACAGTTTATAAGTCAGAACAAGACACAGGTCTAGGCTGAGCCATTCTCTCAAGTTCCAGTCATGTGGCCTCAGATTTGCTGTGGGAGGGAAATGTCAAGGATGAAGACAGACACTGTTGTGGGGTGAACAGGGCATGTTTCACCCAAAGACTCCCTGAAGCCATTTTCTGGAAGTTATCTTTGGCAACCGAAGTGAACTTCAGTTCCAGCAAGGGCCTTGGAGACCTTTTGGCAAGGACAGAATGGCTCTAAAAAAAAAAGAGTTCCTCTCAAGGTTCCAAAAAGAATTTGCAATCCAGACTGAAGCCTGGATTCATTTCACTGTGATCGCTGGGATTTTTTTTTTTTTCCTCTGTGAAATTATTTTCAAGAACCTTTTCTCTTATAAAGAGATTCATTAAGTGGAGAAAATGAAGACATTTTTAGCACAAATTTGCTGTGTTCATAGCTGGATTTCAGTTACAAATGCTTAAAGTGTGTCCTAATGAGCAATGATGTCAGTTTTGCCCCTGAAACTTCTGGTTCAAAGATTCCAAAGCTTTAAATATTTTTTATCCAATATGCTAAGTTCTGGAAGTCCGAGACAGTTGTTCTTTGAACTTCTCACAGTGAGGCAAGCAGAAGTCTTTCAGTTTCTGAAGCTGTTTTTAAATCTAAATGATCTTTCTTATGGATGTCTCAGGAGTGTGAAGTAATGGACTTTCTGTTATTAGTACTCAGATCACTGCCAAACAAGGCCAAGATGGGGGAATGCAGCGCTCTGGTTCTCCTGTGATAGCTGTGTCAGGACTTCCTTAGGCAGCAGGTGGTTTGGGAAACAGTTATTGGGAGGTAGTGAGAAGAGGGCAGCCTGGAAGCAGCTATTCATCCCCAATCCCAAAAACCGACCAGGGAGTAGATCATAAATTCACATTCCCGTCATCTCTGGTTGCCCTCTGCCTCCAATGAGCCCATTTATGTCCATCCTTTGTGACCCAGCCTCACAGAGTCCTCCAGCATGAGCAGTGGTCACCAAGGCTTGGGTGAGGAAACAGCTTTCTCCAACCACAGGGTTTTTGTTTTGTTTGTAGATGGACACTATACCTTTTCTTTCCTTTTGTTTTAAATATTTTTTTAGGCATTGATGGGCCTTTATTTTATTCATTTATTTATATACGGTGCTGAGGATTGAACGCAGTGCCTCACACACGCTAGGAGAGTGCTCTACCACTGAGCCACCACCCCAGCCTTGACACAATACCTTTTTGAGCGCT